TACTAGGTCATCAAGAATGAAGAACATTGTAACATTTTTCGAATTGACTCTGCCGTTACATGATGGAAATCCATGAAAATGTGAAAACTTCACAAACGATCAAATTTCCACAAAATTCTCAAACACATTTCATGCTCCGCTAATACAGTAGCTTCGTCAGGTGATATACTGGCACAATGACCTGAACAAACGTTGGCTCGTTTAACTTTTATACAGGGTGATTCAAAAGTAAGCGGCATCCTTTCAGAGGCGTATTCCTTGCTTGAAAATAAGGCAAAAAGTTCCTATTGATAAGGATCCGAAAATGCTTCCTAAGGGAGCTACGGCCCTTTGAATAGGACACCTCAAAGACGGTTTTTTCTCTATAACTTTAAAATCCTTCACAACAAATTTTTAAAAATTGGTGTACGGCATAAACATTCGATGGTAAATAGGACTCCGTATTCGAAATTTCAGAATTTCATTCAGGGGCGTCACATGCGGGAGAGGGTAAGTGTAAAAATATCCCTTCTTCTCCGGATATTCAGGTTACTGTGATTTCGTTTGGAAATTATTTCGAATACGGAGTCCTATTTACCATCGAATGTTTATGCCGTACACCAATTTTTAAAAATTTGTTGTGAAGGATTTTAAAGTTATAGAGAAAAAACCGTCTTTGAGGTGTCCTATGCAAAGGGCCGTAGCTCCCTTAGGAAGCATTTTCGGATCCTTATCAATAGGAACTTTTTGCCTTATTTTCATGCAAGGAATACGCCTCTGAAAGGATGCCGCTTACTTTTGAATCACCCTGTATATCCTACTTTCCCAACTGTGAAGGATAAGTTTACCTGTGGACAGATTTAATGAACATTCATTTTCGGAAATCAAGCACAATATCTACATTGAAATACGGTGAACCGGGTCAACTTGGAAGGGTTGATAGCGAATAAATATCCCATATAACACACGTACATACAATGGATGTCCGATGGATGTCCACAATGGACATTACGAATATCCATTGGACGTCCGATTATGTCCAGAGGGACATCCACTGAATATCCATCGGATGTCCATTTGCCACTAAATTGGACATCCAATGCATGTCCATTTCGATCCAGGTGATGAACATATCGTAAAAATGAAAAAAAATTGTTGGCTTTCGGGATTCGAACACGCGATCTTCGACTTATCAAGCAGGTACACTACTCCTCTGGGTATTAGGCTTCTTACGTACCTAGTAATGTTCAGAATATTTATAGAGGCAGAGTAATCCTCATTGAAAATGAGTTAATATATCAGTCTATATAATAATTTCAGAAACTTATTTATTCTTATCAAGTGAGCATATTCCGCAGTTCCTCTGCCAATGAAATAGGTATACTCGTCTTCAGCGAACATGTCGCGGTTTGGCGGTATGAGCACTCTTATTGCAACGGTGATCAAGGGAGCTGACACCGTCCATGTGCGACATGATCTCTGAAGACGAGTGTACCTACCGCTTCAAAACTTCTGTTGCCTTCAATTTCTTTTTTTTTATATCACATGGAATTAAGAACATGATAAACTCACTATTAGAATATAAAGAATTGATTGATTGACAAAAGGTATATACAGTATGATGCAAATGAATGGAATAAATTCATTATTTCAGAAATGGGCAACATTTGAGAAAAATTCAAAAATGCGTGAGTTTTGATTTTTGAAGCCTCATTTCATGATATCCATATGGGAGATGTTACGTCACCTGTGTTGGAGTCATGGACGATTTTTTTAAATACAAACATGGGTTTGAAAGGGCTACTGATCGTCCATTCAACAGTCAAAATTTTGCATAAGAAGTTTGAAATCAAAATAAATTATCATTTGATTAAATGAATTTTGCAGAGGTCTGCAACTGAGAATGGAACAACGAAGAGTTGTCTAGTTAAAGAAATACACCAATTAAAGAAGTTCTAAACTCTAGTTTTTGAATTTTTTTCGAAAGTCGTCTTATTTTGAAATGAATTTATTCCATACATTTGCATCATAGTGTATAGTGGTATAAAGGAAATTCAATTGAATCTTCACGTCCAGTGAATGTCCCTAAACGGATGTCCATTGTACTAGTGGTTAATGGATATCCATTGGATGTTTGGATATTTCTGATTATCTTCAAATAATTCTGATTATCTCCAATTGCGAATTGCAACGAAATTTGAAAATGACAGTTCCTACAATTGACAGGCTGTACAGGACTCAAACGACTGAAAGTGTTTTTGAAAAACTTTGTTGTTATGATAACGTGTTAAATTTTTTATTTAGCGTGGTACATATCCCTACGATAAATGCCATTTCAGTTATGTGAGTAGAAGAGTAGATAAATATTTTTTTTTGTCTATTCACGTCAAGTAGATATTGATAAATCGACAACTTTGGATATGAATAGTTCAGATTTGAAAAAAAAATGAGAGTTTTTGATTGGTATTTATAGTTAACAATTTAGCAAAGGTCCCAAAATTCTTTATGTTATCATGATTTTCATTTACATTGTCAGTGAACACAGTGCTGATCTTGATACATACTACATTGAAGCAACCACAAAAACTTCATGATTTCAAGAAGAGGTTGTCAAAATTCACCAAAATGTTCGACTCGCAGTTCATTTTTTCCTAGTTCATTCACAATTACATATTGTTGCGAGTGAATACAGACGAATTTAATTTCCGAAAGCTGCGATGAAACATGCTGTGTTCATTATTCCCGAACCGCTCATGTATATGATACAAATAGCCTGACAGAAATGAACCGCATCAACATTTAAAATTCTCGATCATCATTATTCAAATTGGCATCAGTCGAATGAATGTTATAAAGAAAATGTCGGACTATTAATGATGCAGCGATACGTCATCAGGGTTGTTTTGGAGTCGATTCGATGTGACCCTGCAGGGAATGGACTCTGTCAACATAACTGATTAAACGCGAAACGAGAATTTATCGGATTTTTCCACGCTTTCAGTTACATGTTAGGAGGGATATACCGAGTGAAACAAGGTATCAGTCCAGCCCTGTAATTTCTGCATTCGTACACGGATTCTTATGAAATTGGGTACAGTTATGTAAGCGTTAATTTCGGATTTGATAACATTATAATCCAATATGGAGGACTACTAGTATTTCTGGAAATGCCAGCAACTTCGTTTCTCCAAATGGAACACTCTGTATAATTCAACACATTCGAATTCGATAGGTAGAAACGAGTGCAATGTCAATGCCAATCAGCCAGTAACTCAACGTGAAGGGTATACATAGATCGTCTTAATTTTATTCATCAATTGACTGAAAATGTTTATAAACACGACGAGAACTATAAAGGTATTTTCGCCCTACCCCATTCATCATTCGTTATGTTGAACTATAAACCACTAATTCAACCTTCAATTCATGTATATCATATGCAACAAGCATTTGCGAAATTTGGCATCAGTAGGGATCTGTAATGAACGCTTTTTTTCATGTTCTGGTTACCACGAGAAGGGATATCATGTAATGTTTAGAGAACATCGTGAGAACCAAGGAAAATGAAGTAGAAATTGGTGTTCTCCTTGAATTTCTGGAGGTTATATGCTTACTGACTTCGACACTCTGGTCACCTCTGGTGTCCAAATCTTTCAACATTTGTGGATGTACTGTTGCCCAAACCCTCACTGATTTCAACACCATGGTGTCATCACACAATAGCAATTATGAGTATGCAGCCTTGTGCTCCTCAAGCAGTTTTCCTTACCATGATGAGGAGGGGTGTAAGGTCCAGATTGACTTCTAGTGCTGCTCTTGAGGTCGATCTCAGTGCTCCTGTTATACAATGACAAGCTAATCTCTGCAGCTTCTCTAACATTCTTTATATGTAGTAGCGAGTTTAGTTTTGCTGTGCCAAACTACCGCTTGTGAATAATAACTGTTGATCTACAGTTTGATTTCTCAGAAAACATAACTGTTTCGTCAGATTTCACGTGAGAAGTAGAATACGATGAGGAATGGAGGTGACATGAATCCAACTATACAGGCTGATTCACGGTGGAAGGCAAATTACACGTTTCTGGAGAACGTAACTTGGGATTATTCTGAAAATTTGGTGCCCTGGATAATCAGTTATGCTCTATCGAACTAAAATATTCTCAGCACTGCGACATTGCCGCTTATATTGAAAAGAAGTCACAACTTCGATTCTTCAAATGGAACACCCTGTATATTATTCCATCCTCAGATTCCTCCTGTAGGGCTGATTTCATTAACCTTTAAAACTTGGGGTCTAGCAATGACATTTAAAAGATATATTGGGTATGAAAAATCGAGATTTTTCAATTTTGTGATTTTTTTGTGTCGAAACTATTCATAATAGGTCAAAACGGTTTCCTATCAATCGATATTTGATTGAAATAGATACAGGAAGGTTCAGAATTAGGATTTGCAACCACCCTGTATCTATTTCGATCAAATATCAATTGATAGGAACATGGAAACTGTTTTGACTGATTATGGATAGTTTCGACACAGGAAATTCGAAAAAGTTGAAAAATCTCGGTTTTTCAACGCCTATATCTTTGTTTTCATTCCCGCTAGACCCAAAGTGTGATAGATCGATAAAACCAAATTTTTAGTATAATCCTGTATATCAAGAGACTGAAACCTTTGTCAGAATAATCAAACTGAATAGTTATACTGTTTCTGGAAAAGTCTGGAACACTTCTACACTAGGAACCCATTCAATCTAACGGAAAATGATAGAATGACTTCGAATTCACAACCTTTTTAATAGTTGTTGAAGTATGAGATAGTCACTAGATTCTAGCTTATCTTCGAAAACAACTATATTTCTCACTGAAATGAATATAATACAATTCAAACTATATCATTAGGCAATAATCGTTTCAATCAAATCATTCCAAATTGATTTTTTCACGAATGTGGGTCATTTGTCCTCGATTCAACCTATTTCAACTCAGTAACCTACCAGACATTCCTGTTTTTTTTTGCAGGTGTACCTCGTTGGTCACATGGCTCCAGGGTCTAACGAGCGACAAAGAGGTCCTTCGACATCTTCGCACACTGCCTACTTCGATCACCACAACAAAAAGTACTTGGAGATTGTTCGAAAGTACGCCGGGATCATAGCAGGCCAATTTTTTGGACATCTGCATTCGGATACGTTCCGGGTCATATATGGAGATAACGGTAAGTTACTGAAAAAGTCGAGTCATCTGGAGAATGAAAACCTCAGTGAAATACCTGGGAGTAGTGCTGGACAAGCGTATGTGCTTCAGAGATAACATCACAAAATTAATTGGTAGAGGCCATGCAGCCATAAGATAATTGTATCCATTGTTGGTCAGGAATTCAGGACTAACAATGGAAAACAAACTGCTCTTATACAAGCAAGTGATAAGACCTGTGATTACATACGCTTGTCCGGTGTACTGTAGCGCCTCCGCCAGTCAACTGAAAAGGCTACAGGTGCTACAGAACAAGGTACTCCGAATCATTACTAACGGTAATGGATACACTCGAGTGGCTGACATGCATGCTCAATGTCATGATCTGCTCTCGATAAAAGATTACATCATTAAAGTTTCAAATAAAATTTATAAACATCACATCCAGAATAGCGAACTCACAAGAGATATAACGGGAATAAGGGCAGATCATGACATCCGTAGGAAACATGGGCTGATATATGAGGCCAGAGATGTATTCAGGGAACCCCCTGAATAACTCCCCCACCCTCCTCTCATCACTAATAGACTGACTCTAGACAACAAACAGCTGAGAAGCTGAATTGAACGAGAACGGTAGTCGTTTGGCTGGGCCGTATAGTCTAAACGCTGTGTTTGTGGCCCGGCTGAACGACTATCGGAGCATTAACATGGAGCAGGACTCAGAGATAGCACGCCTATCGGCTAACAAAACTAGTATAATTGCCGATACGAAATCAGTCTATTAGATCCAAATCATCAGATCCCAATCACTCTCCCACACCTATCTCACCCCTCATCCCTCATAATGTCTTTCACAGAGAAATTTCAAAAGTTGGTTTTTTATTTTTATTTTCCAACACAAAAAATGCTGAATTAGAGAGAGAAAGGTAGCAGTCGACGATCAATCATTTTGCTCTGGGCAACTCACTGACATGAGCTGGATTAAAGGTTTACTCCTAGGAGTCAGCTCCCCCATGACTGTCATCAGGATTGTTAGACAAAAATCATCGGCAAGGCCTGCATCGGCTGCCTCTGAGGGCTCCCTTGGAGGGTAATTCTGTGGCGTATCTAAGTGTTCTACATTGTATGTTTTACATTTTTATTATGTCCAATGTCCCCTTTAGAAGATTTTTGTTTATACACCTTGTATTGTAAAAATGTTTTTATTGAATGAATGGAATTGAAACGGAGAAGGAAAAGGAAAATCTGTGGAAACTGCTGGATTGATATAGTCCATTTATCTCTAGGATGTCTGAATCCCTAGTAACTGTAATGTTTTCAGTTGATACGAACTCGAATTGAGTTCAACTTTTTCATTCGTGAAGAATTCATTCACTGCCTTTCACAGTTGCCGGTCCATGTCGAACAAGATTCTTCGATGAGTAAATGCAGTGATAAAAGCGGTATACACGACTACTAACTACCTACTAACTACTCACTAACATGATTGAAATAATTTGTTGACCTGTTGAAATAGGTATTTATCTATATTCTATGGAATATTTCGGAAATTCCTGAATCAACTAGGTATCACCCATACATATAAAGTAGGGAACAATGGAAGAAAATTTGAATAATTATTCATTTCCAAATTCGACTCAGGCACTGAGATCCGCTCTTGAAAACAAGAAAAATCTCTATTACAACTTTGAATTCATGATGATTTTTTATTTGTTTGGAAATGTCAGTATCAATAAAGAGAAGCAACACGAACAAAACAATCTTATTATTTATTATTATTATTATTTATCAATCATATCTTTGAGTCAGAACAAGTTCTGGTATGAGGAAGAACACGTTTATGAGATAATAAGTAATAAATATCTATGAACTACTACACATACATGAGTAGATGTGAACATGAATAATAAATTATTAATAATGAATCAGGATATCACAATGGATTACGATAAAAGAAACAATCCTTGAACAAAGAAAATAATTCTAGTGAAGAACATAATTCACTGATGAATTTTGAATATTCCTTTCAAAAATGATCAGTTTTCTCCTTTTTTTCTTCAAATAACCCTATATTTCTGCAGTTTTCAATCTCATCTTATTCGTAGCTCCATCATGCTACTAACCTTCAATCACTAATTATCGACGAAAATATTATCTTCTTCAGGGAACATTGATTCTTGCTTCAACTTCCTGTTATGTTTGGTGCGAACTTGATGTATCGTCTATATTTCTACAGATATTTGAATTGATTTTTCCAGTACTTAGATGATGCCAAAGTCATCTATTGAAATATCATCAAACTACTTCACTTATTCAAAAAAAGTTCAGGACAGGTATGTTACAATGAGATATAATGAGTCACAATAAGAAGAAATGAAAAAAATTCAATGAGAAGCATTGAAAAAGTAGCCAGAACAAGAAGTTGCAACAGAACGTTCGAAATCAAGACACATTGTGTGAAATTGGAATAGAAATAACTTATTTTGTGAAATTCTGTAAATCGAACAAATAAACCTATCAATCTCAGCAATTTATCGGAGGAACTATTACTAGGCTAAGACCTAGTAGGCCATTTTTCATCTTTTTTTTAACAGAACCTAACGCCTAAATCAAATTTCGAAATGAATTATCATTCGAAGTTTCTCCCACATAATGCCAACTTTATGAATAACACTGTATACAGTTGCACTTAGAAATACACATTACTTCAGCTTTCCTGGAATAAGTACCTACTTATGGATGGATGGATCGATTGTGCACTTTTTTGCAGAGTGCTGCATGATTTCTTTGATGATTTAGCAAATCATGGATATGAATAATACTCAACTGGAATGATCTTGATGGTAGTTTTATAGATCCGTTTGTTTCAACTTAAGAGTCACTGCCTAGTTTGTGACTAAATGAGTCGAAAGTTTTGCAGACACTGCAAATGGCGTCAGCATAATGCGGATAGTTTCCAGAAATGGGAAAGTGTGACATAAATTTTCGATATTTGGGCTGTAGAAAATACGGATGGTTTACGTTGTCGCTGGACGAGAATTTTCCTCCGTCTACTATTCCGAGCCTGTTTTTTATGTTTCTTTTCTTCTGGGATTTCCAATTTATTTCTCTCCAGCTCGACGCACTTCTGAGCTTTGTTTTTCTCAGTTCCAAGTAATAATTGACCGTTTCATTCTGCGAAAAGAATGCACGTGTTTATTAAAGTATACATGTGGTAAACAGTTCGTCTAGGGAAGCTTAAACCTATTTCTGAAAATTTTAGCTACAACAATTCGATAGGTAATAATAATAATTATAAATGATAATATCTTTATTTTCCATCAGACAATTGAAAATTGTGTTGGATTCGTCATCACAGGTGAAGTAGATATAAAAGTTAGATAAGCTGAATGAAACAAACACAAATCACTCAAAACTAAACAGATTTTCATCTACAATAAATTAAAAATTCACATGTCCTACATTTGTAGATATACCCTTATGGAAGAATAATACTTTTCACTAGGAAATCCTTCAATGATGTTTCGAAACTGAAGAATGTATCATTTTCTTTCATTTCATCTGGTCATAAATTAAATATTCAGGAAGCCATTGCTATATTAGAATCATATCGGATTTTTGTATTACTAAACGGAATATGAAAGTGATGTTTTTGACCGAGGTTCCTCTCGATTTCGAATTCATATAAAAACTTCCAAAGGAATCACCTTCACACGTGGTATTGATGATTATTCCTCTTTGACAATCATCATCCTAGTCGAAAAATCTCACATCACATTGACTTGGATACTTCAAACCAAAAAAATCGAAACTCATCAACTCTCCACCTCAGTATAGAAGGTGTAACAGGATCTTGATACACCTCTTTTCTCTCTTCTACTTTCAGAGAGACGTTATTGAAATTTGGAATGATTCATCAAGTGACATTCAGAACTTCAATATTGATTTTGATATCATTATCTATTTGCCATCTGACTATTCTGATCGAGTCTCATCTACTTATATCAGCAGGTGTAATGCTGAAAGAAATTGAATCCATTCAAGCATGTGGAATTCCTTGCATTACCACCAATTTGAGTTCATCAAAATGGTTTGATGTACCATGATTCAAATGTTGATCCCGATATGGGTTGACAAAACGCTTCGATAACTTGGTTCGAAGATGAATCGATTGGTAAATCATGAAGCCATTCCAAACTGAGAAAACATATTGATTTTGAAACTTCAATGACTTTGCATCTTGTTTTTAATAAAATGACTATAATATTGTTGATGTGAGTCAGAATATCAACTTTCGAACACTGACTTTGACAATTCCTAAACCGTATGCTATCAACTGTGGAATCAATAATGATTAAATCGACATCACGTTCATTCTTCATCAAACCTCAGGCAAAGGTTGAATAATTAGTAGGATTATAAATTAAAAAAATTCCTCGAATGATATGATAACAAATTCTTGTTGGTCCATTGGAAAAATATATGCAAAACTTCTCTTGATTGTACAGGGTGTCCCAAATTGTTTGATTCTGGCAGTTTTTCTCCAGAACATCTAGAGAAAAACTGACCAAGGGGTCAAGAGCTCAATTTTTGTGAAACGTCGATTGGTAAAAACCGCATTTCGACATCTCCAACCGTTTCCGAGATATATGCGAAAATTGACATTTGACCGATTTCGAAAATGTGCCATGAAATTTCAATTTTTGAGATTCAGCTGTCAAGAAAAAGATATCGCGTATCAATTGTCTGATATCAAAGCCAAAGTTGTATTGTTGTTGTATTAACAGTAAGGATGGACGTCTAGACATATTATCTTGACATATATTATATATTCTTGGAAAGCCTCTTCCTTCCTGATTTCTTGGAGTCGAAGCCAACTATTGTTTCTATTTGAGATAACAACGTTGGCATCGATATCAGACAGTTGATAAGCGATATATATTCTTCTTGGCAGGTGTATATCATTTCACGTTGAAAAATGCCTATAGAAAGTTCTTTTCGTTCAGAAAAAAATCAAAAAATGAAAATTTTCATGGCACATTTTCGAAATCGGTCCAATGTAATTTTTCGCCTATATCTCGGAAACGGTTAGAGATATCGAAATGCAGTTTTCACCAAACGACATCTCGAAAAAATTTAGCTCTAGACTCATTGGTCAGTTTTTCTCTAGCTATTCTGGAAATAGGGAAAACTGCCAAAATGAAGCAATCTGGGACAACCTGTACAGTTACAGTACAGTAATTATTTCATCCATTCGATTTTCTTTTTTTTTGGAAAGCCTTTATTCTTAGGAAGCTGCCTATCTCATTTCGTCCAGGCCTCTCTCAGTCATCATCCCGAATTTATCACCCTTGTAATGCCGAAGGGTAGGCAAAGTACATGGCCATACACGTTTATCTCAGCTCCGTCCTTGGACCCAAATGAGGCCCACATGACTATTAGAGTACACTAATTGCTTCACAACAATTAAGACTCAAGCCCTCCTATGTAGTTCGGGTTCAAAATAATATGCGGAACTAAAGGGATAGTATTAGGTGATCGTTAGGGGATAGTAAGTTATCATTTTCTGCTGTTCTAATAGCCAGAATGTAGCATTATGGTGTTTGGGGAATCTTATCTGAAGCAAAATGGTTGAAATACTGATGAGAACATTCCTGTCAACTTCGTTTTATAACCAGTTTGATCGATGTACACGATCAATTTGTCTACTGAAGATCAATAGTCGAGTGGGCAATTTTTTTATTACTAAAATGGAATCATCACCCAAATACCTTCCAATTCCATATTCTTCTAGAATTTTTCAGTACATTCCAAGATGCTTAAATCATCAATAATTCCATGGTAATTTTCGAACAGTAATAAATTTACCGCGAGAAAAAACTGACGTAGATGCAGACCATCACAGTTGCCATATGTTGACATACGACTGAAAACTTCAGGATTATTAGTTATTCAATGAATTATGAATCCTTGATGATGTATTGATAATATTTCTAATAATCAATAAAAAATTCCCTCATGGGCTTGTTGCTCTTAATACATCTGTGTGAATAATAATTATCAAAATTCACACTAGAGGAGGACATTTGAAATGTTGAACGTGACAACACGGCGCAAGAATTGTTGGCGGTGCCTTGTCAGTTCTCAGCATTCAGCACAATGTTGCCAAGTCTTCGGAATTAACATAATATCTTGTTTCGGAGTTTGAGAAAACATTTGGACATGCTGGTTCCTTGAAAAAGTCGAGAATGAACTGAAATATTATGGCTTCCACCTACTATGTTTTATCTCGTGGTTTATTCCACTGGCCCATTGTTGTTTAGGCAACCAAATATACAACGCGTTCTTTCCCTGTTGAAATTATAACTGAAGAAATCCACATTTGAATACAAAATATGGATTTAATCGAAGATTTTACTCCAACGGGTTAGCTTTTCAATGTTTCTGAACCGACTTCAACCCCTGTTTTATAACGAATAGAAGAATCTTGATTCCCATTCTTATAATTCCGACATATGTCAAATGTCACTAATGTCAGTGGTGGGTTGACTTTCATCTATACAAGGTGATTGTCAGTAGTTTCTGGATTATTAATGAATAAGCGTAATGAATTCTCTTCACTCTAGGAGAAAGAACCTGTCCAACGACTACAGGCATATAACCTTGAAATATGTCGAACAGTACTATATCGAAACTCGTTTCTCTTTAGTAGGGGAAAGCTCTGAAATTCGTTGACTGGGGAAGTAATTCCAAGAGCTCATAATCACCAGAACTTCAGAAGAAATTCCAACACCTATCATCTTTCTCTATCCTTCCTATGTAGGCACGATGTTCATCGAACATCATAGAGATTCTCTTTCGTGCGCACCAAGTGATAACAAAATAAAAATATAGTTGATGTGTTTTTTTTACCAATTCGTTGATATCTTGATCATCATTCTCCCATCAATACACTGGTTAGTTCAATAATTAGTTTGATAATCATTTATTGTTATATTATGGATACTTTCAGATATACTCCAAGTATAGGTACGTCCATACCAATGTAGTAATCACCATCATCATTATGCATAAATGGGAAATAACCTTTTGACATTTCCATAATGATTGTGTATACCATTTATAATAATTGTCGTTTCATTGATCCAGCCTTTCAATTGAATTACTGATCATTAGATGTTGAGTAATTTGTGAACATTCGAAAGCAATGAGAATGATTGAATACTATAACGATATCATTATGTTACAGGGCGTCCTATTTCTTGGGCTATGCTAGCACCATCTGTCACACCAAGAAGAAGCAACGAAGGAATGAACAATCCAGGTCTGCGATTGTATAAATTTGACAAGGATACTGGACAGGTGAGAATTTTTTGAAGTGATTCTGTTATTATAGGACAGGAAAAAACGTGTGCATCAAACATAAACAAACAATATAATAGTATATTATGAAACAAGAATTATGAACGTCATTTCAGTAACAAGTATTTTGAGCACTCTCTACTTCAGAAGATTTTCTTTTCAAATTCTTATCGTGTGTCTTCAATAGATGTAATTCAATATTCGTCGTGGCAAATAGCTAGGGAATAAACCGAGAAAGAAATAATATTTTCATCACATGATGGGGAATGCGAATTCTCAATGTATTTCTTCAAATATATATATTCATTTCTTTATGTTTATATACAGGGTGATCCACGGCCTTTCAGAAGTATCTCTGGAGGAAGAAGAGACAGAACGTTCTGAAAATTGGGACGCTTTGATAATTGAACATTCAGTGTTGCCATTTCTATCAGAAACAACTAGTAACTTTGATATTCAAGAAGGAACAGCCTGTATTCTATTGCATTCTCAAATTCTGCTTGAAAAGCTGATTTCATTAATGTTCCACAATTTGGGTCTAGCAGGAATGATTACAGAGATATAGGGTTTTCAGAATCAAGATTTTTCAATTCTATGATTTTTTTGTGTCGAAACTATTCATTATCGAATGAAAAGGCTCACATGTCCATATCCCAACTTCTGATTCACTATCTACTGGAATTTAATTGGAGAAATACGGGGTGCTTCAAGATTCAGAATTCTTATCACCCTGTCAGTAGATAGTGAATCAGAAGATGACATAGGGACATGTAAGCCGTTTTGATCGATAATGGATAGTTTCGACACGAAAAAACCCTAAAATTGGACAATCTTGATTTTGAACACCCTATATCTCTGTACTCATTCCTGCAAGACCTCAAGTGTGATGCATTGATGAAATCAGGACTTCAGGAAAATTCTCAGAATGCAATAAAATTAATTTTTTATTCATTTTTTTTATTTATTCTTTTTTATTGAACAGATAACTCCCAGACAGAATAGGCTCTGGTATGAGGAAGTACATATATATATCGATTGGCAAACATATCATTATTGAAAATATATCAGCAACTGTAAATTGACATACGAAGAATAATATTTCTAAAATAAAATGGCATGATTAATTTTATCCAGTTCGCTCAGAAATAATCAGTTCTTTCACTTCATTCTTGAATGTACCTATATTTCTGCAAGTTTTTATATTGTCAGGTAGTTCATTGAATTCAGTTATAGCTGAATGAGTAAATCTTTTTTGTCCGATTATGAAGCTAGCGGCGTCAAGATGAAACAAGTTATATTGTCTAGTTTCATGATTATGAATTTCAGAATTCCGTATCAAAATGAAATTCGACTTCAATTTTCTATTTATGATATAATATGATATTTCAGAAGTTTCAATTCTATATATTTCATCTAAAGAATACGTATTTGTTACATCAAACAATTGATTGGTTGGTGTATCAAATGGGAGACGATACAATACTTTCAACGATTTTCTATATAATGTTGATATTTTATTGAAATTAGTTTTTGAACAAGATCCCCAAACATTCATTGAATAGTTGATACGACTCAGTACATTAGAGTAGAGAATCATGTTCGCAATTTCAATATCATGTTTGGGACATCTTCTCAATGCACCAATAATTGTACCAAGATATTTCATCTTGTCAGTTTGTTTTGAGAGTTCATTTTTTATTTCAAGGTTGAGGTGAATTTTTGTTCTGGAATGTTCTGTTCTTTCGTTCTCTAGATACTTCTGATAGGCCATTCACCGTGGATCACCCTGAATATATCTGAGAATATTCCTTTTCAGAATAACAATTCTTCAACAGTGAGATGAATAATTGCCATTCGATCTATAAATTGAAGCGTCGACAAATATAGCTTCAAAACCAATTTCCAACAACAAACCAAGAGCAACAAATGCTCCTCTCGCTTTTATATTCATTGCATGCCACAATTTGATGAATATGGAATATTCCGTAGCTGTCGGGAATATTTCGCTTGATTGTTATGTCTTCCTCCAGACATTCAACAGTCTTCTCGGAATGCGTTGGGGAAAGACTGAAAAGAGAAATTCCGTCATTGTGTTTCTCCCCTATTTCCACTCGAAAACAAAATAATTAGCGTCAGAGAAAGCCTAGCTTCGAGAACAAATCCTGGAAAGACGAACACACATCTGTGTGAATATACGAAATTCGTCGACCAATTATTCTGAATTTTAGTTCTCCTTTCATTAAAATACAGAATACTGAGACTGAAACAACGGTGAATCGTGAGAGATAGGAAGAAGATTGAATATGGAAAAGTTGCATAATTAAGTTCCCAAATTTTCCGTTCTTGGAATGTTTTACAGTGTGGTGACTTTCTTTTGTATTTATTTATTCATTTAACAAAAGCAGATAAACAAGTCAATGTGATATAAAAACAATCGAGAGATCTAAACGAACAAGGAACATCTAGACACTTAATTCCCAAACTTAAGATCAACACTAAAGGTACAATAAAAGTACAGGACATTAAATAAACAATATGGAAACTTCAAAAGTTTGAGTCGCTTCGTTCCAATAATAGTATATTATGTAACAAGTGATATAAACGTCCTTTTAGTAACGAGTAGTTTAAGCACGAGCGGAGCAAAGCGTTAAGCATGACAATAAACGTGAAACAAAGGTTAGTAAGCAATGGACTGGACACATCTACAACCAATATCACTTATACGTGTCTCGCTGGTTGCATGCAGTTGCATGTATTATGTTCTCAATTCCCATTCCTTTCGAATAATTTTGTAGGTTAGCAGGAATTGCAGGTATGTTGATGTAATTTTCTGAGTTCGTAGAAAAATCATAATATGTAACGCGTTTATAAACTCTTCTATATAGACACTCGTTTATTAAACACTCGCTCCGCTCTGCTTTGCTCGTGCTTAAAATACTAGTTACTAAAATGACGTTTTTCTACTCACATAACTAAAATGGCATTTAGCGTACGGATATGTACCACGCTAAATGATCGATTAATCACGGATTGGCGATCTGTGATTTATTCAAAATATTAAACACGTTACCATGGCAACACGATTTCTTAAACACATCACCATGGCAACGCAGTTCATTAAACACAGCTTCAGTAATTTGAGACATGTCTGGCCTGTCAATTGTATTAACTGACAACTGTTATTTTCGAATTTTGTATCAGAATTATTCAAACAATATTCGTTTTTATCAGAATTCTTTATTAAAAATATATGCGAAAAGTAGATGAAAGTAAAATCAAAGAGAATGTTCTGGTATACTTGCATATCTCCAAGAAGTGTAAAAATGAAGCATCCATCTTTGAGAACAATTTATTTATTCTGCGCTAAGCATGACAATAAACGTGAAACAAAGGTTAGTAAGCAATGGACTGGACACATCTACAACCAATATTACTTATACGTGTCTCGCTGGTTGCATGAAGTTGCATGTATTATGTTTTCAATTCCCATTCCTTTCGAATTATTTTGTAGGTTAGCAGGAATTGCAGGTATGCTTATGTAATTTTCGGAGTTCGTAGAAAAATCATAGTATGTAACGCGTTTATAAACTCTTCTAGACACTCGTTTATTAAACACTCGCTCCGCTCTGCTCCGCTCGTGCTTAAACTACTCGTTACTAAAAGGACGTTTATAACACTTGTTACATAATATAATATTATAACACTTGTTACATAATATACTATTAGTGTCGATTCAATTTATAGAATGAAAAATAGTCCAATTTAATAGTCCAGTTTAATTATCTTGTTGAATAGAGTTCGTTATTCGGAGGATTTCAATCTGTTCCTCTTTGTTCTAGGTATTCGATTATACCCAATTCTACTTGGACTTATCCACTGTCAATCCGAAGGAGAATCGGCAAGTGGAGTGGCAGGTCGAATACAATTTCAGCACATACTATTCCATCAACGAAATCAGTCCTGTCAGTCTGCACGCCTTAGCTGACAAATTCACGCAGGACAATCCGCAAGGCAACAACGTGTTCTACAAGTAAGTATACGATTTTCATTTTGAGAGGAAATGTATTTCGAGTGATTGTTAGTGAAACATGCGGAACGATGAAAATATGATTGCTATCGGAACTTGCCGATAGGATGCGAATTCTCTCCATTTTCAAGTAACTCAAAGTCAGTTGACGACATTTCATTTAGAGCAATCAGTTGATACATGTTACTAGTTTTGGCGCAACTGCCATCATCAGACATGGAAGGTATCTGTGAAATGATGATATACAGTGTGACCCACTTCTAATGGAACCACCCCTGTATCCCACGTAATCCTTGAGTAAGGATCCTGAAATTTGCTGGAGCGAGAGATATACCAAACATGCACTCTATGACCAAGTGGGGTCATCTTCAGTGATATACACTGCTCGCCAACAGCCATGAAACTACCCCAATTTCCGGAAAATGATATTAGGAGCCGAAATAGGTCGAAAATCACTTCAGATTTGGAATCAGGACGCCCAATTTACCAACTATTCGAATATTTCCTGGGAAATTTTCAGTTCGGAAAAATGAAATTTTGTCGCATTTTTTATGGAAGCACCCCCGTATCTCACGTAATTGATTTTATCTTTGGACTTCCTCTTCCTTCGGCAAATTTCAGAACCCTACCTCAATAAAGCTAAAAAATCAAATTTCAGGATCCTTACCCAACGATTACGTAAGATACAGGGGTGGTTCCATTAGAAGTGGGTCACACTGTATGACAATACTATTGAAAAAAGTGATGAGAATCAAGAATTCAGGACATACGAAAACATAAAGCTTCAGACTACTATGACAAAACTAACATGTTAATCAGCGAAGCAATTCGTCAACTGACTATCGGAGTCGGGCACATGAGGAACTTCTATTTATATTTGGTGAAATTCCAGAATAAACTGGCTCTGATAAGATTGAAGATCTTACCAAAAGTGTTGAAAGTTTTTTTTTATTATAAACTACCTACATAATATACTGAAGAGGGGTACGGAACACGGAACTGGTGAAATTGAAGACAATTTCAATAATGGACCAAGACTTTGACAGTTGAAAACGAGACAATGAAGATTGAGTGACAGTACCTGAAATGACACAATGAAACAGTGGTAAGTAACACCAAAAAATGAACGATATGTTTGAGAAGAACTGAGCAAGTATATAGAGAGAAGAAAGGAGGAGAAGAAGAAGGGAAACCTAGAAGGAGAATAAAAGCCCGAAGAAGAATAATTTAGGGACAAACCAGAGGAAAAAACCACAAAAAGAGAGGAGGAATTGTCATTACTGAAGAAGTAGAGTGGCGGAGAATCGAATGAAAAAAGTTGAATCAAGATAGATAAACCATGAAAAATGAGAGGTCCTAAAAATATGATTGTGTTCGAAATGATTTCGATCATTGATACATGAAACATTATGGTTGTTGATGCATTCTTTGATCTCCATGATTTTGAGGAAGTTCAACCTAGGACCCTTATCAGAGATGTGAAGAATATCTGAATTACTATTGACATCAACTGAGTGATGCGAATCCAAAATGTGATTGACAGAAGAAGAAGGGGAATTCAGAGCGACAGCAGACAAGAATTTATTGAAAAGTTATTCATGTCCAGAGATTAGAGTCTCGAAACCTCTTTCTGTTTGACCTATACAAGCATCATCACAATCATTGCAACCCCATTAATAAACACCTGATTTTTCATCACAGGAGATCCTATGTCCTTGAAATTAACAGAAATTTGTTCGATATTAGAAATTGTTCTGAAGGAAATACGAGTGTTCAAATTCTTGACAAGTTTTGCAATTTTGAAAGTGGAAATTCCAAAGGAATTCAGAGCTTTGTATAAAGGGGAAGCTGGAGGTTGACTGAAAATAATATTGAATGTTAGTATGAATTTAGTATGGAATTAAAATTAAATTGTCATGACATGTTCAATGGGATAATTATTCATGACTGCGATCTGTTTGTCTCTCTTTTCTGGTTGGAGAATAAATGACATTCATCTGAAGTTGCTTTTTCGAACTCGAGAAACGAACTGCTTCCTGAAATGTAACCAAATAAAAATCAAAATAGTGACAGTAGAGCTACGTTCGCCCTGAAATCCTCAAAATATTCAAGCTGGGTTGATTTCATTGGGGTGGACTATAGAATGAACTCACAACTCTTTCACTGTCGTGCTTAAATATTCAGCTCCAACTGATTTCAATAATTTTCGATGCTAAACATACCAATGTTGTGATTGCGTATTGCGAAGAGCGTACTAAAAAGTAATATGAAGGAGCAGAGAATTGGTTATGTATGAAAACGATACCACTAGTCCTGACTTGGCTTAATGCACCTTTCTCCTGGGAATTATATTTCTCGAAAAATCACTTGAATGAGAAAAAAATAAAGAGAGCTGACGCCTATATGCATCGACTCGTATAAACGAATACTGTTACAAGTGATTCTTTCTTGTATGCCTATCGATTTTGATTTAGCCAGGCCACGCTTGACACCTACAGACTGGTTCGAAGCTCTTTGACTTTTAGTCGGCGGTCTTTGGACTGCTGGCTGGAGACTGCCCTGCACTGATGAGAGTCAAAGACCTCGAAACCGTTCTGTAGGTGTAGACACCTAGAGCGTGGCCTGGCTATCGAAATCGATAGGCAACCAGGAACGAATCACTTGTATCAGTATTTGTTTGTACAAGTCGATGCATAGATTTCGATGTTTTGCGTGCAGTAGCCAGGAAATTAGTTGTTTTTCTCCAGGAATCTACCATTGTTGTAAAATTTTTGAACGTTGTAGTACCTACCTTGGTATATAAATGCCCTATAATTAACTTTGGTTCGTTATTTTTCCAGATACTACAAGGCCAACTCGGTCCGAATCAACAACAACCCGACGACAGGTTGCGATTCCACATGCGTCCACCAACACTACTGCGCCATCACGCGGCTGGACTACGAAGCATTCCGTCATTGCATGCAAACCGCTCCCAGTGCTCTATCTGCTTCCAGCTCGCTAGCCACCAGACCAGTCGTGTTGCTAGTCACTGCGGTGGCAGTCGCGGTGAGCGTGATAAAGTTAGTGCGATAATATTCCACAGTGATATTCCCGCGATTCATTGGAGAGGAATGCATGTGTGATGAATTCAATGCAAGTGTGCAGGTTGATGATCGAAGCAAGCAAAAATAATTTGCAAGAATTTTCGATGTTTTACAAGCCAGCTCGCTAGCTACCCGACCGTTCGTGTCGCTAGCGACTGCGGTGGCGGTGTGATAGAGTTAGTGCGATATATTCCCGTTTTCCATGATTCACTGGAGGTGCATGGAATATGTATCGAAATCAATGCAAGTGGACAGTTTGATGATCAAAACTAGCGAAAATGCCGAATGGATTGGATATACACAAACCGCGAAGATTCTTTGCTCGATTTTTGATGAAATTTCATCGGAATCGCTTGATTTCTCTCGAAAACATTATATTGCTGTTATTGGATAATCTGTGTCAATACCATTCGATAGAACTGAAAGAATGTGAAGAATGTCGAGTTTTTATGAGACCAGATCGTTTTTCTCGTACCGGTCTGGTTCAGCGTGATGATGTTAGTGCGATATTATTGCCTCATTTCATAATTCAACGGGGATGCATGGAATATACAGGGTGTTGCGATATTCGACCGACAACGCTTGCCAGGTGATAGCCCTCGTGATTTCATAATCACTGAGATAGGGACATATACGGTCTTCAAGTGTTTAGTTCTCGAGATACAGGGCGTTAAAGTTGAGAAATAAGAATAGTTGTTTCGCAATATCTCACGGAGAATTGAATATAATGTATTCAACTTCGCTAAATGGTTTGATCTTTGAATGGGTCATTTCTTGTCCAGGATGCCATTCTGGACATTTTATCCAGTGGTGCCCAACAGGGGGGGGGGCATGGCAACTTTTCCTCCTATATTTTCTACGCTACTGATCAAATTGCAAATATTTCTAATTGCTCGAATTCATTGTTCAATTTTGTTCAAAAAATGCATCACCTTCAACTGAGCTGAAATGAACAGATTTCGAGATATTCGACCCAAAATAGAAGATTGCATAGTAATATTTCATCATTTCAAGTAGTAGAAGATTGCAAACATATTTTTTTGGTGTTGAGTAGATTAGATATACTATCCAGATCTCATCCTGTAGCTGAACAGAAATAGTTAATGCACGCATGAAGAGAAAACAAAAATGTTTGTAATCTTCGACTACTGAAGAAGATGAAAAATTACTATGCAAACTATTTTAGGTCAAATATCTTGATAACTGTTCATTTCAGCTCAGTTGAAGATGATGCAGTTTTTCAACATAATTGAACAATCAATTCGAGGAATTGGGAATGATCGAAATTTCATTAGTGGCGTGAAAAATATGGAAATTAAAGTTATCACAACCCTCTGAAGCGTACCTCTGGGTAAAATTCTCGAAATGTCTTTCTGGTAAAAAAATTAACCATTGAAAGATGAAACCATGTACCCAATTTGAATATATTATATTCTTCTTTCTAGAGATATCGCAGAAAACCTATTCTAATTTCTCAACTTCAACGCCTTGTATCTCGAGCACTGAACACTTGGAGACGACATTTCCCTATCTCAGTGATTATAAAATCAGGAGGGCTATCACCTGTGAAGCGTTGTCGGTCGAATTTCGTAACACCCTGTATAATGAATTCAATGCAAGTGGACAGTTTAATCATCAGAACTAGCGACAAGGTCAAATGGATTGAGAAAACAAACACCACGAGAAGTCTTTGCTTGTTTTTTCAGGTATTCCTATGACAGAATTGTAGCTTGATTCCTCACGAAAGCATCTCATTGGTGTCAGCGAATGTTTCGTCTCAATCTCATTCATAAGAACTGAGAGAAACTTGAAAATTTCGATTGTGTTTTGAGAAAAAAATTGAGACCAGCTTGCCCTTGGCCGATCGTCTTACTAGTCACTCCCGTAGCGGTCGTGGTTAGCGTGATGAAGTGAGTGCGATAATATTGCTGTTTTTATGATTCAGTAGAGGTGCATGGTGTGTGTATTGAATTCAATGCATTTAGGCAGTTTGAGAATCAGAACAAGTGACTATTCCGGATGGAATGAAAAAACAGACACTGCGAGAATTCTTCGCTAGATTTTTATATGATTCTATTGGCATTGTAGCTTACTCTCCCACGAAAACATCTCATTGCACTTATTGAACGATTTGTCCCAATATCATACGATAGAATTGAAAGAGAGTGAATAATTTCGAGATTTTTTTGAGACCAGCTTGCTAGTCACTTGGTCGGTCGTGTTGCTAGTCACTCCGTGACAAACAAAAGGCAAACAAAATATCCGTTACTTGAATTACACCTGAATTATAAGACATTCTCGATCACCGTGATAATGTTGGAGCGAAAATATTTTACCAGTGATTGCAATGTCTGATTGCTATGCTCTGCTAAGGCTCCGGCTATCAATTTGCAAACTTCACCAAAATAGACAGTTTTTCGTCCTTGGTACATAAATTACTCTCTGCTGACGTCAATGTGAGATATTTTGAATAATAGTTCAGTTGAAGTAATGTCTAGCATAAAGTGAATCAATTCATTTCCTCACACGAAAACTGTCAGCGTGGAATCGAGGAATGGTGAAAGAAAGCAGATAAACCTTGGTATATGAAAATGGAAGATTTTCAAATCATCCACAGATACGTTGGTTAACGACGAAAGCGGAGAAAAGCCACTGTTGTGTGTATTTTATTTCATTTCTTTACTCAGACTTTAAAGTCTGAATTCAGACTTATTTCACTAAATCCAAACTTTTTTTTCTGAATTCAGACTTTCTCCTCTGAATTCTAAAAAAATTGAATCCTGTCAAAAATGAAGAATTTCTTGATTTATCACCAATTTAAGTTCATCAAAATGGTTTGGTGTACCAAGATCCTGTTGAACCCGGTATACAGGGTGGGCCACCAGTAACGCCTCGGTCTCTAGAAGGCTAACCACTTATCTTCTTGGAATTCTTCCTCTCTAGGAAGTTGCATGTCAACATAGGCTACCATTTAAAATTATTTCGAAACATACAGGGTGTCCCCAAAAACCATAAAACACTGAAGTTAAACTTTTTTCTATCGAACACCCTATATATTATTTCATTTTGAGATTCTCCCTGATGAGCTGATTTCAGCGGCTCATCATACTTGGGGTCTAGCAGTTATAATTACTGAAATATAGGGTGTGAAAAATCGAGATTTTCCAAGTTCAAGAATTTTTTGTGTCGAAACTATTCATAATTGGTCAAAACGGCTCACATGTCCCTATCTCAACTTTTGATTTACTATCTACTGATATTTAATTGGGACATATACCGGGTGATCAAGATTCTGAATTCTGCACCACCCTGTTTTTGTTTCAATTGAATGTCAGTAGATAGTTGATCAAAAGTTGAGATAGGGACAGGTGAGCCGTTTTGACCAATTATGAATGGTTTAGACACAAAAAATTCTTGAACTTGGAAAATCTCGATTTCTCACACCCCATATCTCAGTAATTATAACTGATAGACCCCAAGTATGATGGATAGTTGGAATCAGCTCACCAGGGAGAATCTCAAAATGAAATAATATATAGGGTATTCGATTGAAAAAAGTTCAACTTCAGTGTTTTGTGATTTTTGGGGACATCCTGTATGTTTCAAAATAATTTCAAATGGTAGCCTATGTTGACATGCAACTTCCTAGAGAGGAAAAATTCCAAGAAGATAAGTGGTTAGCCTTCTAGAGACCGAGGCGTTACTGGTGGCCCACCCTGTATATGGTGTGAAGTAGGAGTCTGAATTCAGACAAAAAATTCTGAATTAAAAGAAAAAAGTCTGAATTGTGGCTTTGAAGTCTGAATCAAGTGAATCACTGGAAATTATTCAATATTGATGAGTATATTTCACGTATCATCAGCGATGCTTATACCGGTGCCACAATCATTTTGTTGGATTATTCCGGAATTATACAGATTAGCAAATAAAGCTGAAAATTGTTGTAACGGTCACCTATATATATATATGGACGAATAATTATTATTTCAATATATCCCACATTGGCATATTCGTATTAACTTGGATGGAGTAGCAGTTTATAGATATTTTTTATTGGAAAATGTGACCATTAATGGGTGTGAATTCCATATTTATGTAAAATATTTTTGTATATATTGAACAAAAACAACTGAATCTATTATTACGAGAATTCTATTGTATACCTAGATAATTATGTTGAATGTATCGGTGTGAAAAGAAAAAGTTCTGCAGGGAAAGCTTTTAGTGTAAATAATAATCCACTATATTTGTCTCGATCGAAATTTTCTGCCTTATCAAAAAAGTCACATCATTTATTGATATGTTCGCTAGGCGTGACAATTTTTTTTTTCTGGGAATGAAGATATACAGAACGTATACGGATGCTTTCTTGTTACTGTGAACATATAGTGGAAATAAAATCTGAGCCAAATTCTATGTAAATATCGAAATTATACAGTGAAATGTGACTTTGATGAAGATAGATACTTTTTTCGATTACTGAGATTGTCAATTTATTTGTTTCGAAATTTGGCATCACTCCCAATGAATCCCTGCAACTGTTTCATACGACTGTAAATAAATTCTTGAGAAAAGTCAAACGCTAATAATTGACCAATGAATATCTGCTACTCAATGTATAATAATCTATTCTCAATTTCCAATGATCATTGTGAATTTTTATTGGATGTTACTATTTTCTTATTAATTTGATATGTAGTTTATTGGAAGAATAGGTGAATCTATTTTGTTTTCGTTGATATTTTATACTTTAAATGTTAATCAATGGTTCTGAAGAGGACAAGAGTAACGTATTTGACAGGAAAATATGTCATTCTAATGTTTATATCAACAATTCAGACCAGGAACACGAAAAGTGAAATATCAGGTAACCAATGAAAGTCAGGATTAAACTACTCGTATTCCAAGAGAGAATTTTGAAACATTTGATTGGATATTGAAAATTCCCAAAGAGCACTTCTCGAAGCAAATTTAGGACGGAGTACATAGATTCTCAACTTCATGTCATTTTCTCAGTCTTTCCAATGATATGGAAATGACAAAAAGTTTATCATTGCGTTTGAATTAGATTAGATTAGATTTAGAATGGGGCCTTCGGGCTATCTGCCTCCACACCGCGACCTTTTCAGATCTATTGTGTCTGCCCTCAAAATCGATTAGAGTTCTTCGGCTAGCCCCGTCTTCTCTATGAGACTCCATAGGCTAGCTTTCAGATCCCCTGTGTATCTATGGGCTTCTGGTTTTTCCTCACCCAGCGTAAGGAACCTTAGTCTTGACAAGCCCTCACAGTGGCAAAGTATGTGTACTGCTGTTTCCTCCTCTTCCTGACAGAACCTGCACAGCAGTTCTTCAGTCAGACCTATCGTACTCATGTGTTTGTTGAGCCTACAATGCCCTGTGAGAAGTCCCACTAGTATTCTAGTTGAACTTCGTTTCTGGCTTAGTAGATATTCTGTGAATGTTGGCGATGGTTTTTTAATAAACTCTTTTGCCTGTCTCATTCCTGGCGATTTATGCCACCATTCTTGAGATTTGGTTTGCATCCATGATTTGATACTAGTCTTTTGTATAGCTTTCGCAATACCACAGAAGGGTTCTGGGCCATTCAGAGCTTTGTTTGCTCCTGCTCGGGCAAGTGAGTCTGCCTCTTCATTGCCCTCGTACCCTGTATGTGCTGGTACCCATGCTAGAGTCAGTCTGTTCTGACTGCCCAATGCATTTAGGGTTTCTAAGCAGTCCCATACTAGTTTTGAGTTAACTTGCATAGAGTTGACTGCTTTGATTGCCGCCTGGCTATCTGAATAGATTGCAATTGCGTTTGAATAAACAAGATACTAAATTTAATTTCCCCAGTTCA